ATTGGTAGAATGGGACTCTTGATGAGTGTGAAAGAAACTAATGTTAATGGATTGATATTTAAATATAAGGATAATTAACTAATTCTAATTTTAAGGGAGATGTGTATCTTTTTTTTTTTTTTTTTTTTTTTTACCGTGGTTTCCGGGCGTCGCTTTGCGAACCCGACTAGCTGTACCCACCGGGTCCCGCTGTTTCAAGGCGGGTCCGCCACGGTTAGTTCCACGGGGCCCTGGAGACGCGGCCGGTTTGTAATGCCTCCAGTGGCCCTGCTGGGGCTCGAACCGGCGACCTGAAGGACTTTGTCCCAGACCTTTACCAGCTGAGCTACCCCTCAGGGTTAAAAGGGAGAAATTAAAAACTATAAAAAGTGTAAATTTTGCTCAGATACATGAATATCTTCTCATAGATTTCTCTCTGAAGTCTGACATGTGAAATTTTCATGAATTCATCACAGCAGAAAAGGGAGATGTGTATCTAATTACATTTTTAAAATATATGATATAAAATATTAAAAGTGGTAATATGTGTAATTGTTTGAAAGTAGAGGTAATATTAGTATATATGATAGTACTGTATGTCTAGTTAGGTAGTTTTTCCTAAAAAGAATATGCTTGGATTGGAGACACATGTCACAGTTTAGAATTAATGGTTGAGATTTAATTAATTAAAGCAAAGTCCTAACCATAATTATTTACTTTCATATATTTCCTTCTTAAATATTTTTACAATCCAACAATTCTATATTTACATTATATTTTTCCTAAATATATTTAAAAGAATTTCTTTTCTTAATTACTTGAGTAATTTTTTGCTGATTTTTTACTTTTTTCCCTAACGTTTGTCATTTCTCAAATAATATTTACCAAATAAAAATTAAAAATTGTGACCTGACATTTTTTTTAATTTTAAGAGTAAATTAAATTTTGTCACTCAATTTTAAATTCTTTCTTAATCCCTAAATGGAGTCAATATTGTTCTATAGACATTGTAGCTCTTAATACTTTATTAGAATAAGAAAAACGTTTAACTGTATTACAATTTTTTTCAAAAAAAGTAAAACTATTTAATAAAAGTTTTAAATATGTATGCAGAACTTTGTGGGAAACCATTGAACACCAATTGCTCCTTACCCAGGAAAAGAGAAATAGAAGAAGAAGATGATGAAATAAGGTTTTGTTTTTTTGTGAGCGCGGGAGTGGGATTCATTGCCATGTTTTTGGCGACATTTATAAGCTTGACGATAAAGAAGTCGTGGGGAGAAAGAATTATCAGGTTGCTTGAATAGGATTTTGAGCGTTCACAAGGAACTAATTTCCATTGCATTATTGTTCTTTCTGTTTTGATACTGTTGCAGTGAAAATATGGCAAACTTTGAAATTATGTTTGTCCCTCAAGTTTCTGTGTTTTTTACTTTAAGAAACAATAGATTATATTTAACCTAAATAAATCAAAGAGTAAAATCACTTTACAAGCAACATCATATCTATAAAATCATCATATACAGTAGATGAAACAACATTGTAATGTAAAAATAATAGTAAGGCTGTTTTAGAAGAAATTTCCATCTTGCTATATATCTTCCTTCAGTAATAATGAATGATTGTTTGAATCAATATTAGTTATGCTTGTCTTATAATTATCTGTCAAATAAATTATTATTATTTTCAATCAAGTACATGGTTGTAGCCTTTGCGCTATTCTACCCATAATAAAATTGGTGATATTAAATTTTTGGATTGCTACAAAAGGTTATAATGGGCAAATTAAATAGGGTGGGGCAAGGCTGGGTTAATTACTAAATCTAAATAGGGCAGAGCGGGACAAGGCAAAACCTTAGCAAGGAAGACTTTTCTACCACTTCTACTCTATTGCCATAAATTACATTATACAAGTTTATGGCGATGTGCTCAGAATGTGAATCCCCTGCTATTGCAGGCATCGGTCCACTACTCATGAGGTCTCCAACTCCCCCACCTACCATTCGGAATTTTGACAAGGGCCACTTAAATTTTGAAGATTATTTCAAGGAATACCATCAATGATGGTCTGAACAATTTCCGGCACCATTCTTCGTGATAAGCCATAAATGAATTCATGACTTGTTCAATTTTTCTGAAAAATCATTAATTGGATATATAGTTACTGCAATTTGCAGAAGCGAATAATCATAGTTAACAAATAAATTACCAGTGGAGCAGGTGGTCTGGAAATGGGAAGAGAGAGATCCAATCAATTATATATCAAGTTGCACACTTTTGGATGAAAATTGCTTGATAAATTGTATCAAATCTGCTAGTGGATTTTGAAGCTTTAATACCTGTTCGGTATCGCCAATTAAAATGAGCAAAGAAAGAAGCCATGTTATTGTTGCTGCCATGCCCCAATTTTAATTTGCCAATGAAAACCTTTCAACGCTTTACACACTAGTCTACATCCACAATGAGTGAAAAAATACTTCAAATTTTCCTCCATTCATTCTTTCCTTTGATTTCCCCAACACAAACAAACATTACTTCAATTTTTATACTTTAAAAATCAAACTGCCCCCCATATGTTTGGATTAACTTTTCGTTTTTGATTTATAAGTCAAAAGTAGTTAGAATTCTAACTTGAACCTCTTTTTTAACTTAAGCAAACACTTCGGAATATTTCAAAGCCATTTATAACTTTAAAATAAGTCAATATAAATGGATTTTCTGCATCTGAGCTGTTATAATATGGCTCATCATCACCTCCTAATTTACGCTTCCATTTTTTTATATTATCAATCTCTGTTTTTGATTTTCCTCAGAGTGTTTGAAATTCATATTGAAGCCTCAATTAAATTTAAATAGTTCATTGTAGAACCCATTTAAGTGTGACATTCGCAACAAAATTCTCTTAATAAAACAATCCCGTCACTATGTTGGTGCCACTCATCCACATGACATAAAGATGTTGCTACCACTCCTTTAATTTCACCATTCACATTACCATCAGGGAGGACCGCATATTCAATATTTGGCCATCATCACAATTTCACAAACATAAATGTCGATTCTACGTGTTCCCTTCCTCTAAAAATAGTAAGTTCCAACAAATTCCTATCATTTTTCAATTGCTACCAAACAATTATATAAGTTTTTGCCAACTAATATAATTAGTGAGCTCAAAACAAATTCAGACACATGTAATTGAAACTTTAAAGGCAATTTTTTTTTTACATAAATATTAAATGCAATTTTTTAACTTCTACTACGTACATTTGAGGTTGGAAAAAAATTCAATTTTCAAAATATGCCTTGTGTTGACAAAGAGCAACGTAGTTTAGAATAAGGATTTGCAATTCTAATATCAAATATGTTTGCAATAGATTAATTTCGTATAGTTTATAGTAATTAGAATGTTGAGTCATAATACTATAACATTAAAATAGGTTTATACTTTGTCCGTTCTTATTTATGTCACCATTTTAGATTTTGTGTTTCTTATGAAACTAAGTTTGCCATTGTATATTTATTTAGTGTTCTCTTGAAGTCAAATTTCCAATAAATGAGCATAAACAATATATTTTAATTAATTAAATGACCAATGACATGAATTAATGATTTAGTTTTCCATGCTGGTCATATTCATATTTTCAAGCGTATAACTCTCAAAGATAAAATAGAAAGAGTAATATTGTTTATGTATTAATTTTGTGAAATGATAAATATTAAAAAAATATTCATTTTTAATATTTAACATATAAATGAAAACGGAGGGAGTAACCCTCAATATTATTCTTTAAGTCTTTTATTATTGAGTTCATACAAGCTTAAGTACAATATGCTTGGCCCATAAACGTACTTGAATTCAGAAAAAAAATCAGGTTTTGTTTAGTTTCTTGCCGAAAAGAATCATCTTGGTAGGACCACAGAGAGATGTCTTTATTGATAATTAAATTAACTTTTCTGACGATGAGATTTATCTTAAATATATATTGGTAACCTCATAATCAAACTGTATTTTACATATAAGTAAGGTAGTTAATTTTTTTAGCCATATGCTTTACCAACATGGTTAAAGTATACACTATCTTTTCATTCTGATTGTATATGTTGGGTAGTATAGTTATATATATAGGTATGCATATATTCATAATTACTATAAAGAGATTATTTGTTAAATCATTATATTAGAAATTATAATAATCTTTTCAAAAAATAAATAAATTATATCTATAATATTTAAAAAGTATTATTAGCTATGTAGTTAAGTCTTAAGGATGATCTTTCCAAGTAATTTTCCCGAACTTATACTGATCCTATAATGTAAGCCCCTTTTCCTAGGCCCTAGCTTGCTAGACGTAGTTATTTAAATCTATTGGCACAGCTAGCTTGAAAAGGTAGCTATTACAAAATCAAACTTTTAACTTGAAAAATAAAAATTAGGAAGTACCTATTTTTTAACTTTAACTTTTTTTAAATCATTTTTAAAATATCTAAACACCCTCTGAACATATTTATTGACTTGGGCATTATCTTCTTGGCCCTTAACATATTTGAGAAGGCTTCATGTGTATATATGTTGTAGACAGAGACTTAAAAATACGCCAAATTAGACACTCTACAAATTAACTAAATACAAGAATAAAATAAAAAATCTGATGACCCTATAAGATCATTAAAAGTTAATTCATGAAATTTAGATGAAAATTTTCTCCCAAATACACATGCTATAGCACATTATTTTGATTAAATGTTTTAGAATCATAATATGGGTTCAATTAGAGCGAGTGAGCTCACAATATCCATAAGTATTGAGTTACGATTTACATGCTACTTATTAGTTTATGAAAGAAGTGTTCTTTTATGCTTGTCCCCATGCTCACAATTCTAGCAAATAGTGAAAATATATAGTTGTGTTTGGAAAAATGGCATAATTATTTAGCAGATCAAACAAAACACAACTTTAATTTGTTATAGCGTCTGAACGTGGGATATAATGAATGATCCCTTAATATTATGAAACACAAAAATAATTAAAAGCTTGAATTTAAACATGACAGTTCAATTGGGGTAAAATGTCATCAATTAGCCATTTTGTTATCCAACCATTTGCCTTTTGTGTCAAATGACTTCCATCCCAACTTAAGTAAGTACTCGGGTCTGCACACGCCTTTTCAGCTCCTGGCTTACCACATCTCTTATCTTCGGTGTAATTATATTCTCCTCCTATTCCACAACATGCTATTTGTAGCGTTTTTTTGTCGAATCCTGAAAATATGAAATAAAAAAAAAGAATGTTAATAAATTGCATATTATATTAAAATTAGGAAGCTCCTACCTTGAAAGTTAGATTAAAATTACTAATTGCCTCACTATTCCTCAAAATTAGTTATATACACTCACCAAGAGCAACGGCATTTCGTAGAAGCCAGTAATAGGCATTGTAGTAATCGCCGTAAATAATTGAAATGTTTGGATACTCTCTGTTCAGCTCATGAATGGCTTGTTGAAGAAGATTGTTATAAGATATTGTAAAATTGTTCCACTCTTCCGCGCAATGGTACTCATCGTAGACAGTTGAGGATTTGTTCATGTATAACGTTAGGATAATTGGGAAACAACCTGAAGGCAAATTGCCAGGAACTAAAATTCGAGTAGCCCCAAAACCAATGATTGTCTGCAAAAAAAAAAAAAAAATCATAATCAGGAATCAAATTTAATTTGAAGCTATTCTGATAATAATGAAGAAATAACAAACACTTACTCTAACAGAATGAATGATGTTTTTCACAATATCAGGCACTATTCTTCGCACCTCCTCTATGGGTCTACCTTGCTTAAACCCATAAGTAACGTCATCTCCTCCAATTTCTCCGACTAGGAAAAGTGAATTTTCCAAATATTTTGCGCAATCTAGCAAGCAAGAATAATTGTAGAAAATATTAACATTCTTCAACTGTCTAAATTAGTTTAGCTTATTGTTATAATAAATAAGTAGAGAGTAATTACCATCGGAGCAAACAGATTTGAAATGAGAAGACATCCATTGAAGCTGAACACTTAATGAACTATTTGTGAAAGACATAGCGATGTTCCTGGATATGAGGTATTCCGCTGATAAAGCAGTAGCCCCTGATACAGCGAAATTCGCACCATGACTAAAATCTGCATTTTCTTCTAACGACGGATTTAGGAGAGGAAGACCACATTCCATCGCTGTATATTACGAGAGACACAAATTAAACAAAAAAAAATAAAAAAAATCATCAAACTTTTATATATATAATAGTAGTGTTGGAATATATATCAACCTATGTAATCAAGGATGATGAATCCATCAGAACAACGTCCCGTTGCATTCTGGTAAAAATTTATCCCATAAGGAAGTTTTCCGGTTTTAGTTTGAGCTCTACAATAGCTCTCTCTCAGACAGTTTCCAGTATCGGAAAGTGAATCACCAAACTGATAAATTCTATCAATTCCGCATTTCTGTAATTTTGGTTTTTCAAGCTTTATTAATGTATCATCATCTCCTTTGATCAGTTGAAGAAGCAACAAACTGATTAACAGAAGAAGCACTACCACTCTCATTCCGAATGCCATGAAGCACTACCACTCTATTATTGCAAATAAAATGTTTGGATTATATAGAGAGGCAGAAAACGTTATTAATTTCCATAGGATGAAAATAGGACGTATGGCTAAAAACAAAAGCAATTAATACTGTTGTTGTCTTTTACAGCTAGATAACACATTCAAACGAAAGAAAAGTTATAAGCCCACAAAATAATATTCTACCATTTATTATTGACTTGATGCCTTAATAAAAAATAAATAATAGAGTAATATTACAAAACTATCTCTTGGATATAATAAATTTAATGCTTTGAAAATGTATTAGATATTGAATAATATTTGATAGTATGGATAAAATAGTACAAAAAGTAAATTATCTCTTGATTTTTCAAATTTAACAAATATTGTTGGGCAACTATTTTTAATAGGAAAAATTATATAAAATAGCAAACTATTAATTCAAATTAGATGTTATAACCACAGCTTGATTTAATTGTAACCCGTAGCAAACAGTTGTCATTCGTCTCTCTCCCTGAATTTCTTGCTCGCCACTCTCGATTTCTCGCTAGGCAGTCTCTCCCTCGCCTCTCTCAGTTTATACAAATACAAATGTATAAAATGTGTTTATCTTTGTATAAAGCGAGAGAAAACTGTATATATACATATCTTTTCGTTCGCCTCTCTCCGCAGAGAATCTCGCTCGCCACTCTCACTTTATACAAACACAAATATTGCGTTTGTGTTTTTATAAAGCGAGAGAAAATTGTATATACAAATACAAATACATGTATTTTAGTCCTATACACTTATAATTATACAAATACAGATATTCCCCTGCCCAGTTTTCTTTTGTCTTTCTCTCTTTCTCGCTTTATACAAATACATATTATACAATTGATTCTTTTGTATATGTATACCGAAACAGATTATACAATTGATTATTTTGTATACGTATACCGAAATATACATATTAATAGCCATAGCAAACATAAAGTTTGATATGAAACACAATTATACAAACTATAGCTATATCATATTAATTTTTATGTTTGCTAAACCTAAAATTTACTCAAAATAGTAGACAGTAAAAAAATGGACGAAGGGAGTATGTACCAACGGTGTAAATAGCCAGTTATTAACATCCTAATTTGCAGTTTTTATTTATTTTTATATTATTTATAATCTTTTCGTTATCCATACAAACTTACGAGATGATTAGCCATAAACGTGCTTGACTTAAGAAAAAACATTTCTTAGTTAGTTTCTAACGAAAAGAATCGTCTTAGTTGGGACCGCATAGAGATATCTTTAATAATGATTAAAATACTTTTATTGTTTTTTTCTGACATTGAAATTTATATGAAATAATCTTGGTAACTAGATAATTAGACTACTTTACATATATGGTTCATTTCGGATCAAGTCTCTACTAGTTTTTTTTTTGGATATCAATGTGAAATTTTGTTTACGTACACTTAATTTACTAGATAATTTTTTTTGAGAAAAGGGTCTGATATACCCCTCAACTATGTCATGTAGAGCTGAAATACCCATCGTTATGAAAGTGACTCATATATACCCCTACTTATATACAAATGACTCACATATACCCTTTTCTTCTAACGGAAATGAAAAAAAATTAATTTTAGTTTAGTTTTTTATTATTTTAAAAAAATAAAATATAATTCCATATGAGTATATTTAATCCTCCTCAAACATATTTTTTTACGTTTTTTTTTGTTTCAATGACTAATTTGGATTTATTATTTTGATGGTCAAATTTATTTATGTTTCACTAATATTCTTGTAAAACTTATTATAGATGACCAAATTTTTTTCTTCAAATACAAAAATTAAATTACAATATAGACACAAAAAAAATAGTTTTAAATTATAATATAGCCACAAAAAAATAGTTTTAATTTTTTTTCTTTACACTAAGGAATGAAAGAAAAAAATTAAATAAGAATAAGAAACTCAAATAATTATAATCAAAGAAGTCAAAAAATAATTTATGTATGAAAAGGATTAAAATATACGTTGAACTTTGCTAGAAGAATCATATATACCCCTAAATAATTTTTAAGAAAATTAAAAGTCAAAAATATAAATTTAAAACTAATTTTTTCACTTCCGTTAAATGAAGGGTATATGTGAGCTCATTTGTAACGGTAGGGGTATATGTGAGCCGTTTGTTAACGATAAGGGTATATATGAGTCACTTTCATAACGAGGGGCATATCAGCTTCAAATGGCAAAGTTATGGGTATATCAGACCCTTTTCCCATTTTTTTTTCATGAGCATAAGTTATGGAAATAAATTATTTTTTACTTACCTATTAAATAAAATTTAAAATATTTCAAAAGAGTGAATCTACTAAATTTAATTAAAATTTGGTTTTATCGGCAAAAGTTTGTGTACGATGGACAAGAAAAGCTTGAGGTTACTGAACATGATTTTTTTTAGTTTCTCATTTGATGTCAAAAACTTACATTGAATTTTAATTTAAAATGAATTGTGAATTATAGAACTCCTTTTAAGATAACGCTCTAAACAATATATTTTCTATATACTCGAGATTCAAATTCGAAATTTAATTTTTAATTAAAAATAAAAGCAGTCATGCTGCTGTAGTACCACAACCCCATCTTAATAGAGTCTGGAATTAAAAGGGTAAGAAAATTTTCTCAAAATTCCAAAAGGGCAACAAAATTAAATATCAAACCAAAAGGACAACTCTCGTTGACGTCGTTTAAATTCGTTTAAATTAGGGCTTCCGCCACAAGGCGCGGAAACCCATGTGATTTGCAAGGCGCGGCCTCCTTTTAGCCTTGTAAGGCTCAGCCGCCACGCGCCTTACAAGGCGCATGAGTTTCAGCACCTTGCGGCTTTTAAAAAATATATATATAAATTTTTTTGGTCCGATTATTAAAAAAAAAACTTTTTGGTAAAGTTGCTAAGCCTAATCTTTTGTCATAATCAATAATAATATATAAAATTATCTAAACTATCCATTAAAAAAAAATTGAACTCCTCCGATTATTAAAAAAAATAAAAATTTTGAAGTCCTCCGATTATTAAACTCTTCTTTTTCTCTTTTACAAGTTTTTTTAAAAGAGAAAAAGAAAAGTTTAATAATCCGAGGACTTCAAAAAAAAAATGCTAAAAAGTTGTAAAAGAGAAAAAGAAGATTTTAATAATAGGAGGACTTAAAATTTTTTTTTTAATAATCGGAGGCATATTCGAGATGCCTTTTAAGAAAATTTAGTATCCTTTATATAGGCATGAACTAGAGTTTAAGGAGTAGCCTCTAAGAATCCTAATTGAAACTGAACACGTCCCAATTCGAATTGAACACGTCTTATAGAGTCCCACAAAATTTCAATGTCTTGTAGATATCTCTATTTGCATTAGAAAAATAAATAAATATATATGTATATTAATTTGAGAACCTCTTTACACAATTGATTGACAACTCAATGGTAAGGAAGAAGCGACGGAAATGTCTTTCATACTAGTGTTGTGGACTCAAACCTTTCTCTTTTTCTTTTTTTTAAAGGAATCTTGCAATATTTTTCTTTTTTATCCTAAAATTTAGAACCCAAACTCATAATTCTCGCTAAAACATATCAATTGGTAGCTTATTGTTTCATATTTCTAGATTTCAGTTGGTATACTAAAAATTTTAATATGTCATATTATATTTATTTATGTTTTTACGTTCTGCAATAATTATTATATCCTCAATAACGGATCAGGCTCCCCTCCATTACCCCTTTGCTCCATTTTGTCAAGTGCACCCCTAGATAAGAGACACGTGTCTTATTTAAAGTTTAAAGGTCAAAATTATATTATATTAACAAATATCATAACCATAGTTAAGTCAACTAATTTCAGAAAACTACTCTCTAAATTTGGTAAATAATTACAACATATTCCCTACAAAATTTGATATTTATTAATATCATTAATTTCATCTTATATTTTATATTTAAATATTAAATTTATTATATTTAAGGTGAGAATCAACTAAATAATTTTCTGTACTAGTAAACTTTATTCTTGAAATATTATACTACGTTGAGAAACGAAAAAAAAAAGTGAAGAATTATCAATGTTGAAAAAAAAACCATAAAATAAAAGAACACGAAACAAAAATAAAAAATAAAAAGACAAAAGGCTTTTAGAATAAACGATATCAAAATCATTCCAAGGAGAAAATGTGGTTATTGTACGTTTGAAGGGAAAAATATACGTTTTTTAAAATATTCGTTTGTATTCTTATTTTTGTGAAATAAAAGAAAATATTGTTTTAAATGCAAATATTTTTGACGATTATTATTTATCATATTAAATATAAATGTTTCATGTTCTACAATTTTAATATTTAAATATAAAAATATAAGATGAAATTAATGCTATTAATAAATATTGAATTTTGTATGAAATATATTGTAATTTTTACCAAATTTAGAGAGTAAAATTTTTTAAAATTAGTTGACTTAACTATGATTATGATATTTGTTAATATAATATAATTTTGATTTTTAAACTTTAAATAAGACAAGTGTCTCTCATCTAGAGGTGCACTTGACGAAATGGAGGGAAGGGGTAATGGAGGGGAGCCGGATCCCTCAATAACATGTTCTCATCGTTATTAACAGCAGTTCAACTAATTGCCCCAATACTCCTCAAATTACTATCCACCTACCAAAATAGACAACATCAAAATAACGCAAGTTTAATTTAAATCTCATAATAATTGTGTAAAATGAATTCCGTTCCATTTTATGTTTTTGAGCACTTACCGAGACTAATGAATTGGTGTTCTTATCATAATCTAACACAAATTGTCAAATTATGCCGCTTAGTGGCATAAGTTTAGTTAACAAGTTACGTCGTTAAAGACACAACTTAGTTCCTACCGATAGAAGCATAAATTCAATTTTAGAACCCACAAGTTATGCGATAAGATATAACTTAATTTGTATAAAACTTATAACTAAAAAACGTAAAATTTCTCTACACTTATGCTAAATTAAAAAAAGTTCTCTAAGATTCCGTTGTAGCACTAGAAACTCCGT